TTGAACAAGACACGTGGTAGTCATCTAAGATCGTACTCTGACATTCCATTGAACGCCTAACACGTGGAACGACACCTGGGCATTTATGCCTCTACATCTTCATTCGTCGATTAAGCTTGAACTGTAATCTACGACCTCGATGCACGGGAGGCCTGTGATATCCCCAAAACCATAAACCTCGAGCTCGACCTAAGTAGCTCAATCTCAACCTCCCCAAAACCATCAAATCTGAGGTCGGGCGTTGACACTAGATGTCGGGCTCGAGGGACCATCGACCTAGGGGAGTGCAAATTCTACTTAAACCACAGTCTTCTTCAACTCAAACACAAGTGGAACACTTGGAATAAAATACGAAATCCTTATCTTAAGAGGATAAAGACTATACATGGATGAGTCCTTCTAGGACTCTGTCATCAACACTTATAAATACATGATCTGGGCTCATTTTTAGGGTATGTTTTTCATTATTTTCGGTTCATAGCCATGCACACTAAATCTCATTTCTGACTTAAGCATCGGAGGGGCGACGAGCACGTATCTCGTTGCCTTTGTTTCAGATATTCGAAGATCATTCGTATTCATTCAAGTTAGTTCAAGTTTGGAGTTTAAACATTTAGTTCGAGATTTTTAGGTACGATTTTTTTTGGTAGCATCAATTGTAAACACAAATCCTTGTATTATTATCCATATTATAATAAAATCTCCTTTATTTTTTAAATTACGTTGTTTTTGTATTTTTCAGGTCTTTACTTCATATTGTAGTTATAATCTCTTATTTTCTTCAACAAATTAGTATTGGATTAGTCCGCTATTATCGTTGTTTCACATCAGTAATTGTACATGGATCCAATATAGCCAAAAAAAAATTAGTTTCATAAAAACTTCAATTTCATCGAGTTCAATATTCTAACTATCCAATTCTTAATAACAACATTGTAATAAATGAAGAACTAGAATTTACAAGTCTGTTTGGTCTAATATTCAGTATTACTTTATTCAAATAACACATACAAAAGCAATAAAATATTTAACATATTAATTAACCTTTCGGGTATGGAAAATATAGTAGATTACAACTGTAATAAATAAATTAACGTCTCTTGTAAAAAATTATTGCTAAGTCATGAAACTTTCAGCTAAGTTTCACTTTGGTAAGTTCCATACTTTAATTTTATTCTCTCACTTATTCGCACGCCCTTTATCTCCAATAAGTACATTATACTACAGATTGATTTTGTGCAAAATCAAATTTTTAATTGATTTGATAAAAAATAATGAACTATATTGTTAAAACTATTGTTTACTCCGACTTAGACTTTTATCAACTTTTTATCTAAAGCAAAAGGACGATATGCCTTTTTTTTTTTTTTTTTTTAAAGAAATCTTATATTTTATATACTGATGGGTGTGTGTTTCACATATTGATATTTAGTTAACAAAATGAAATTTCACTTAAAGTTCAAGGACTTAAATTTAATTTTGCTCAAAATGTAATTTTATACGTTAAGCCAATCGCTAAAAAGTATTCCCAAACAACTCGAGCTACTGAACTTTTAATAAACGTAAAATTAAGCCGTTGATTTGTATAAAATTATATTTATTTATTAAATTTTAATAAAAGTTGGTGAAACGTGTGATAGAAATTTTTTTAAAAATTATGAATACTGTAGAATGTGATTCAAAATGAATTTTAGAAAAAATAAAACAAAGTGCAGAGTGTTTCAATTTACTCGCTATGATATTCTGTTATGGCATCTCCAATTAAAACCCCAAAATGGTGCAAAATATCATAATGATGCAAAACTCCTCCAACCATGCATCATCCTTTGCACCAAAATGGTGCTAAGGAAACATTTTACTCTTTATTTTGTTATATGACAAAATTTTCTTCCATTTGTATATTTTTTTGCTATTCAACAAATTTTAATCCTTATTATTATTATTATTATTATTATTATTATTATTATTATTATTATTATTAGGTGCATTTATAATAAATTTTAATCATATAATCAATAATAATTTAGGAATGAATTATAGCCCTTGTTTGATTACCTTTAAAATTTTAATACATTTTTCTATCTTTTACTTTCAACAACACATTTTTCAATAAAATAATATTATACGTAAATTAAAAAAATTTCATTCTTTTTTAGCCATACAATCTTCTAAAAACTACTATTTCAAACAACATTTTACCCAAATTTCTCATTATAATGGTTGTCAAACAAAGGAATAATAAAAGCACTCAATAAATTTAAGTAGTAATGAAATAAATAATTTTAATTATTTTTGAGATTAATAGATTGTCAAGAATTAAAAGCAAAAAATGGAAAAAAAAATGATGAAATAGTGTTCATTTGCTGCAAGTTTTGATGTTTGGATTGAAAATAATTTTCAGGTTACGCAATATTTATATCAAAATGGACCCCAAATTTCGGTGCAATGATTGAAGATGGGCTCAACATATTCCACTACTCGAATTTTTTCTCAATATTACCGTAAGCCACTCTGACACTGTAGTAGTATGTACATTTCTGGGCCTAATTTTAAGCAAAATTTTGCACTTAACTGACAAGAAAGGTTAGCCCCACGTGTCCCTAATGTTTCATTCCTCTGAACCTATCTTCACTTTTGTTGAGTCATAAAAGTCAAATCTGGTGTGTGAACAGAAGGCTTCATACATAAGTATGTCAGAACACAAATATAAGAGCGTGGGTGAGAATTTTTTGGCAATTTTTTATTTATGATAAATTCCACACATGAGAGTAATCTGACCAAATTCTGTAGAATTTTTTTTTTGTACAATTGGCTTAATTCCAGAACCGTTCTCAAATCAACAACTGCATCAACGCGTGAGTACAAGCTCCATAAACAACAAAAATCTCATGAACCCACCATACATTTTTACTTAGAGGGTGTTTAAACCACATTATTTTGGTAATGGAAAATTCTATTTGTACATAATTATTGTATATAATGTTGTCCATAATGTGATGTGACAATAGTTCGATTGTTGATGTGCAAGTGTGAGATTTAAATTAAAAGTTTGATCCAGTGCCACGTGTAATTATGGACACTATTATATAAAAATTATGTATGTATAACACTTTTTATTTGTAATAATGCATTCTTAAATAGTGTATTGATGGGAAATATATAGTTAAAAAATAAAGAAATTTTTTTGATCTGTATGTAATATTATTTTATTAAAAAATATGTAATTAAAATAATATTAAATCACTGTTTAAGGATATATTTTTTTTAAATAATGTTGGCTGCCCTTATAATTATCTCCTGTCCAAATATAATAATAATTATTTTTGTACTATTTTCCTGAAACCTAATGGATGAAACGTTTTGTTTATTGAGAAGGCATCTCATTCATTTTCATCACTCCACTAAAGGTTCATTTTCAAGAATTTCGAAAGGGTCATTGAGAAATCGAGAATCTTTGCATTGCTTTAATTCATTACCTCTATTCACTGTGAATGATTTAACCCGGTTAGTTCAAGATTCAATTTTGTTTATTTTTCTTATCAATTTGAATAACTGTCTAGTGTATAATCCGAGTAAAAATCTAATCTAGTCTTCTGATGCTATTCAACAAATTTTAATCCTTATTATTATTATTATTATTATTATTATTATTATTATTATTATTATTATTATTAGGTGCATTTATAATAAATTTTAATCATATAATCAATAATAATTTAGGAATGAATTATAGCCCTTGTTTGATTACCTTTAAAATTTTAATACATTTTTCTATCTTTTACTTTCAACAACACATTTTTCAATAAAATAATATTATACGTAAATTAAAAAAATTTCATTCTTTTTTAGCCATACAATCTTCTAAAAACTACTATTTCAAACAACATTTTACCCAAATTTCTCATTATAATGGTTGTCAAACAAAGGAATAATAAAAGCACTCAATAAATTTAAGTAGTAATGAAATAAATAATTTTAATTATTTTTGAGATTAATAGATTGTCAAGAATTAAAAGAAAAAAATGGAAAAAAAAATGATGAAATAGTGTTCATTTACTGCAAGTTTTGATGTTTGGATTGAAAATAATTTTCAGGTTACGCAATATTTATATCAAAATGGACCCCAAATTTCGGTGCAATGATTGAAGATGGGCACAACATATTCCACTACTCGATTTTTTTCTCAATATTACCGTAAGCCACTCTGACACTGTAGTAGTATGTACATTTCTGGGCCTAATTTTAAGCAAAATTTTGCACTTGACTGACAAGAAAGGTTAGCCCCACGTGTCCCTAATGTTTCATTCCTCTGAACCTATCTTCACGTTTGTTGAGTCATAAAAGTCAAATCTGGTGTGTGAACAAAAAGCTTCATACAGAAGTATGTCAGAACACACATATAAGGGCGTGGGTGAGAATATTTTGGCAATTTTTTATTTATGATAAATTCCACACATGAGAGTAATCTGACCAAATTCTGTTGAATTTTTTTTTGTACAATTGGCTTAATACCAGAACCGTTCTCAAATCAACAACTGCATCAACGCGTGAGTACAAGCTCCATAAACAACAAAAATCTCATGAACCCACCATACATTTTTACTTAGAGGGTGTTTAAACCACATTATTTTGGTAATGGAAAATTCTATTTGTACATAATTATTGTATATAATGTTGTCCATAATGTGATGTGACAATAGTTCGATTGTTGATGTGCAAGTGTGAGATTTAAATTAAAAGTTTGATCCAGTGCCACGTGTAATTATGGACACTATTATATAAAAATTATGTATGTATAACACTTTTTATTTGTAATAATGCATTCTTAAATAGTGTATTGATGGGAAATATATAGTTAAAAAATAAAGAAATTTTTTTGATCTGTATGTAATATTATTTTATTAAAAAATATGTAATTAAAATAATATTAAATCACTGTTTAAGGATATATTTTTTTTAAATAATGTGGCTGCCCTTATAATTATCTCCTGTCCAAATATAATAATAATTATTTTTGTACTATTTTCCTGAAACCTAATGGATGAAACGTTTTGTTTATTGAGAAGGCATCTCATTCATTTTCATCACTCCACTAAAGGTTCATTTTCAAGAATTTCGAAAGGGTCATTGAGAAATCGAGAATCTTTGCATTGCTTTAATTCATTACCTCTATTCACTGTGAATGATTTAACCCGGTTAGTTCAAGATTCAATTTTGTTTATTTTTCTTATCAATTTGAATAACTGTCTAGTGTATAATCCGAGTAAAAATCTAATCTAGTCTTCTGATGTGAAGTGAATTTCAAGAAAAATCTGTGTAATTTCTTGGTATTGTTGTACTCTTAAGTTCTTATTTTGATGAATTTACATAATTTGGTGAATATCCCTGACATGATTATATGGCATGTAGAATGAATTGGCTGAAAAAGAAGTTGATTGGTAAAAGATTAGTAGTATCTAAGATGGCTGGATATGAAGGGATAGCGACAAGTTCTGAGGTGAAATCGGGTAAAATGATATTCGAGCCAATTCTAGAGGAAGGAGTTTTTCGTTTTGATTGTTCTGCCGATAGTAGAAATACAGCGTTCCCGAGCATTTCTTTTAAGAATTCGAAAGAGAGGGAGACGCCAATTATGAATGTTCATAAAATTCCAACGTACAATCCCACATTTGAATGTGTTATGGGACAACAGATAGTCAGTATTGAGGTAATATTGTTTATCATCATTCTTTAAGCGTTGCACATTCTTTGATATCATTAAAACGTGATTCAGTTTCAATTTTTACCTTTTACAAGTTTACATGTTTTAAATTTTGGGCGTCAAATTTTCTGTGTTTTAGTTCCCGTCTGGTACCTCCTTTTATGGAACTGGAGAAGTTAGTGGGCAGCTGGAGCGAACAGGGAAGAGAGTAAGTCACTTGATCCAGCTTTTCGTCACTAAGTATGAATGGTTGTTCTTGAAATACTTTCTATTTTTACTATGAACAGATTTTTACTTGGAATACTGACGCATGGGGCTATGGCACGGGAACAACTTCCTTGTATCAATCCCATCCTTGGGTTCTAGCGGTTCTCCCTGATGGAGAAGCATTAGGGGTTCTTGCAGATACTACACAACGATGTGAGGTACTTGTGATTTCTTGGTTAGCTTGTGAGAATAATTGTTTGACAGAAATTGCTTTTTAGAAGTCTGATCGTTGTTTAAGCAGATTGACTTGAGGACGGAATCAAATATAAAGATCATTGCTCCATTATCATATCCTTTGATCACGTTTGGTCCGTTTGCTGCACCAACGGATGTTCTTATGTCTTTCGCCCGGGCTGTTGGTAATTATGGATAATCACACTTTTCGTCTTCTGGTCCTTCTAATTATTTTTGATGTCTATTCTTAAATGACAAACTGCCTACATATTATGTAGCATAGAATTCCTTTTCAGCATTTCCTTCTAGGATATTTATTTCCTAAAACAAACTTCTAAAAGACGTATACTATAAACCGGTTTAATCAATTTTGATAATTGTTGTCTCAACAGATTTGTTCTCTTGATGTCGTGCAGATTATTAAAGTAAGTGAAGTATAAATGTTAGATTCTGTCATTTGAGAACAAGAATGGCAATATCAGATAGTTAAAAATGCTACTGGTAAATGGCGCCTTCAATTACGACTAAAATGAGTTATGCAGTTACATAAGTTTTACTAAAATGACATCCCTAGATATGATAACTAGAAAGATACCTTTTTCAAGGTATGAACGCCTGGCATCCCTTGAAATCTTTTGGACTGTATAGAGCCTAATTTTACTGATCACTTAGCCTTTCAGTTGCAGGTGACCTAGGGGTATATTGACATTCATGATTCTGTAATTGGTTGCCCTAGTTTTCTATATATAGAAAAATCTGAGTTTTGGGGTGGGGTGGGGGGGGGGGTCTTAGAGATAAGATAGAGAGGTTTGAGGAAAATCTTTTAATTCCTTCTTTAAAGTGAACAATCTGCTCTAGTTTCCTACGTTATAAAATTTGTGCGTTTCTATGTCTGCGTTATTTTTCTTCTTGTTATTGCTCTTTGGAGATTTAAGGCTTAATCCTATTTAAAAGTTCTCAAGCGAACTGTTATTGCCATAAAAAGCTTGTATGCCAACCATGTTGCTTTCTCTGCTTCCTTTGTAACTCAGTTTCATAAAATGGTCCGACTTTCATATGTTTTTAAGTAATTTAATCAAGTGTATGCTTTTTCTTATGTTCTATTCTTCTTGTCTTCATGTAATCTTCCCCTTCTTACTACTCACAAGTTGAGTTGCAGGTAAAAATATAAAATAATTTAGCATTTCTACTTCCCCTATAATTTGACTTCTACAGAAAGTTTGATGTATCAATACGTGATCCACAATCAAAATCATCTTTTGTCACTATGCTTGTTTTGCTTTTTCTACTTTCCTCATTGCTGTTATTTGATTGAGGAATTTTCTATCAGGTACTGTTTTTATGCCCCCAAAATGGTCGCTAGGCTATCATCAATGTCGTTGGAGCTATGCTTCTGATGCGCGAGTTCGTGAGGTTGACCATTTATACTGTGTTGATTTCTTATCTGCGCATACACAAGAGCATCATACACATTTTCTTCTTATTTCTCCATTTGTTTTGTTTCTGTTTGCATGCATGCGCAAAATTTGAATCCGCTAGAACTTTATTATGTGAGACAGACTATGTGAACTTGGAATTTTGTTATGGGAAACTCATTTTGTTATTAGAGAGGTTAAATGGCCAGTTTGTTTCTTCAAGCATATTTTCCATTTAACATTTAGCCTGTTTTTCATTTTCTCCATGCAGATTGCAAGGACATTTCGTGAAAAAAATATACCTTGTGATGTCATATGGATGGACATAGATTACATGGATGGTTTTCGTTGTTTCACTTTTGACCAGGCAAGTTTGCATCTACTCTAAGTTGGTTTGTTGCATAGATGAATTACAAAACAAACTACTTCTATCTATTTTAGGAGCGGTTCTCGGATCCAAAGTCTCTTGCAGATGATCTTCATAAAAATGGTTTCAAAGCAATCTGGATGCTTGACCCTGGGATCAAATATGAAAAGGGCTATTTTGTTTATGATAGTGGTTCTGAAAGAGATATCTGGATTCAAACTCCTGATCGGAAGCCGTTTATAGGTACAGATGATACCTCCATTCCTCCTCTCCCATCCTACAGAAAACTGAAAAGAAACATAATAAAGGAAGAGAAAGAGGGAAAGGCTTGAACTCGTGGCCAGGGACATTTTTATTGAAATGAACATTTTCTCTGCTTTGTCCTCTGTGTACATTTATTTTATTTATTCTATCTTTAGGGGAGGTGTGGCCTGGGCCTTGTGTATTTCCTGACTTCACGAAATCAGAAGCCCGTTCATGGTGGGCTAATCTTGTCAAGGACTTTGTTGATAACTGTGTTGATGGTATATGGAATGATATGAATGAACCGGCTGTTTTCAAGGTGAAGTTCAAACTTTGTTAGAAGTACATCTCTTTCCTGGTTTTGCATAACCTATTTTGTTGCAGACTGTAACGAAGACAATGCCTGAGAGCAATATTCATAGAGGAGATCCAGAGCTCGGAGGCTGTCAGAACCATTCACACTATCACAATGTACTACATCTGCCAGGACCCTTTTTCCAATACTTCAATTTTACTCTTCAAAAAATTTATATGCTTAGTTGAAGCTTTTAGGTCTTAGTACCAGAAAATGAAAATTATATAATAATTAATGGTTTTCTTTAATATATTGTAGAACAGATGGATTTTATTCAGGAAAAATTGGTTGCTTATTTCAGGTTTATGGTATGCTGATGGCAAGATCAACATATGAAGGCATGAAACTATCCGGTGAACAAAAACGTCCATTTGTTCTTACTCGAGCTGGATATGTTGGTAGCCAAAGGTATGCTGCTACGTGGACAGGGGATAATCTTTCTACTTGGGAGCACCTTCACATGAGTATATCTATGGTTCTTCAACTGGTAAGTGGAAGATATATTGAAAAATATCTTTGTAAACCACGAAAGACAATGTAATGTGTTTTCTATTTGACCCTATCATCTCTGCTTTCACGAGAGAGTCGTCCCTGACTCAAACTTTTGGTTTCATCAATAGTTATACCTTTGCTTCATTCAAGTCGAACAATCCATTGCGAAATGTAACAATGGATTCTTAGCCCATATAGCATTGATCCATGCACCTCAGAGAGTTGTATCATTTATAGTTTATTCTCATAGATAGAGGATGTGAAAGAACAAGTCTTTCACCTTTCCCTTCCAATACTTGTTTGCTATTTGTCATTGAAGAATATTTGTGCAGTCGTCATTTGTGAAAGACCAAATTATTGGATGAGATCACCTGCTCCTGATTGTAGGATATCCCTGATGGGCGTAGTATATTAGATTTGGTGCTTATGTTTTTGATTTACGTCAAATTGTCATGCCTCAAACCCACAAGTAGAGAGTTGCAAGAGTTTCTTGAAAAGTAGGCTCTACAAATAACATCCCAGCATTTGTCCCAACTTTGTCCTTATGGTTAACCCATGTTGGTCATAGAGGCACATTGCATACATCCTAGAAAGAGCTCAAATTTGTATTCCAAAACAAGTGCTGTATGCTAGACATATTTTGGGCTTTTGTGCATTTTGTTTGCAAATTATGTTTAATTTCCCCCTTTTCAAACTTGTGATTGAATTGCCAGCTTAAGGACCCTGCCTCATGGTCACTTTTGAAAATACCCTTAGTGGGCATGTGCCTTTTTGACTGATTCTCGTTGGTCAAATGGTATTGCATATTATGCTATTCTGTCTCTGACTTCTTAGATATATTAATGATGAACATGAAAGTGATGGAACAGTCACTAAGTTTGACCCATTTGGAATTTGAATTTGTAATGAATTGATTAGTACAAGGACAAAACATGGTGTTTATACAAGTACTAAAGAAGATACTCATGCATATGCATGCGTGAGAGTGAGTTTATGTACATAAGTGTGCTAAAAATCTATATTCATTGATTATCTGCTTTTATTCATGTATTACTACAATGGAAGAGGAAGATACAAAGTGACTACAATATTTCTTTCCTGTCCTCTTATATATTTTTTTCACATATATTAGCACAGATGCTTAAGAGAGAACGCCTAAATGGATTTCTCATTGAATAAAAAATTCTAGCAATTTCAGTTTTTCTCCTCTCTACAGTTGACTGCATTACTGAAATATGAGCTGGTGTCCAGGGGCTTAGTGGGCAGCCACTTTCAGGGCCAGATATTGGTGGATTTGCTGGGAATGCGACACCAAAGCTGTTTGGAAGGTGGATGGGTGTGGGTGCTATGTTTCCTTTTTGTCGTGGGCATTCTGAAACTGATACCATTGATCACGAACCTTGGTCTTTCGGAGAAGAGGTTGGTCCTTCGTTCACAAATAATTGACAAACTATGTACCTGTGAAGTTCATGAGCGATTTTATTTTATTTCATTTTTTTTTGTCTCTTTTCCCTCCTTTGAAGTGACTACACAAAAAATGCATCAATATTTCTTCTTATTAAATTGGCTAATGCTGTAGAGGTCGCAAGTGAAAATATCGTGAATCCTTTATAATGTTCACACTTGTAATTGAACAGAGGAGCTGGAGAATATTTTCTGTTATCTATTCTTTGAAATTCAAAGGTATATATACACGTACAATCTCTCTAATTAAAGTAGGTTAAATTAAGGAATAGCTGATTACGCTAATTAGCTACTGCAGTTAAGCCAATTAGCTCCTAATGTCACTTATTCTGTAACACTCCCCCTCAAGCTGGAGTGTAGATATTAATCATGCCCAACTTATTACAAAGATACTCAATCCTAATCCCATTTAATGCCTTTGTGAGTATATCCCCAAGTTGCTCTCCAGTCTTCACATAACCAGTAAATATTACATTATCTTGGATTTTCTCAAGAATGAAATGACAGTCGACCTCAATGTGTTTAGTTCTTTCATGGTATATGGGATTTGAGGCGATATAAAGAGCAACTTAGTTGTCACATCAGAGTTTTGCTGGTACCGATGGCTTCAATCCAACCTCAGCTAGAAGATGTTTTATCCACAAAATTTCGCATGTGACTTGTGCTATGGCTTTGTACTTTGATTCTGTGTTGAATTTGGATACGACATTCTATTTCTTGTTCCTCCAAGACACAAGGTTTCCACCAACAAAGACACAATATCCTATAGTGGACCTTCTATCAATTTTGGATCCAGCCCAATCAGCATCTGCAAATCCCTCAATGCAAGCGTATCTGGACGGGTCACTGTGAGATAGTTTAGTTTCCTAGCTAATCTCCTGTATTTTTCAGGATGATCAAAGGGATCACCATCATCTTTTGTAAGATGTACATTGGGAACCATTGGTGTGCTGCATGGCTTGGTCCCTATCTTTCCGATTTTGGCCAATTGATCAAGTACATACTTTCTTTGAGATAAGAAAATCCCTTCTCTGCTTCTTGTTATTTTTATTTCTAGAAAATATTTTAGTTGGTCCAAGTTTTTTGTGTGAAATTTGGTATGTAGAAATAACTTGAGAGGGGAGATTCTTGCACAATCATCTCTTGTAATAATGTCATCGACATAACCAACAAGAATAATACTAGCTGCTGACTGTCTGTAGAAGACTGAGTGATAACACTTGCTCTTCTTCAGCCCAAACTCCTAAGCTACCTCACTAAACTTGCCAAACCAAGCACGAGGACTGTTTTAGACTATACAGAGATTTCCTTAGATGACAAACTTTCCCATACTCCCCCTAAGCAACAAATCCAGGTGGTTGCTCCATATACACCTCTTCTTGGAGATCACCATGAAGGAATGCATTCTTGATGTCCAACTGGTGTAAGGGCTAATCTTGGGGTGCAGTGATGGGTATAAATAGGCGAACACAGGTAAGTTTGGCCACTAGAGAGAAGGTATCTGAATAATCCACTCCATAGGTTTGAGCATATCCTTTTGCAACAAGTATGGCTTTCAGTCTTGCCACAGAGCCATCTGGATTGACCTTGATAGCAAAGATCCATTTGCATCTCACAGCTTTCTTGCCTTTAAGTAGATCTATCAACTCCCATGTGTGATTTTCATCCAGAGCATGTATCTCTTCAAGCATTGCACTATGCCATCTAGGATGACCAAAGGCTTCTTTTACTGTTTTTGGCACAGAGACTGAATTTAAAGAGGCAATTAAAGAACTAGACACATGAAATAGGTGATCGTATGAAATAAAGTTAGCCATGGGATAAATAGATTTAGGGAGAGTGCACTGACGTTTACCTTTGCGAAGGCTAATGGGAAGGTCAAGGTCATTTGGAGGATCAGATGACGAAGTAGCCAATGCACAACATGTATCATTGGTCTCTTGCCTTCTGGAGTAAACGTGGATAATAGGTGGCTTTACTTGAGTAAGAGGTTGCTCATTAGAGGTGCCGGGAGATGTAAGAGAAGCATCGTCATTTGATTGCCCAGTAGGAGTACTTAGATGTGTGATTTGGTAGATTAACCACTAATCTTTCTCCCCCCTGACTTGTAGGGATGGAGGTAAAAGAGAAAAATGGTGTATTTTTCGAAAAGATCACATCAGTTGAAACTAGATATTTATAGAGACCGGGCGAGTAGCATCGATACCCTTTCTGAAGACGAGAATATCCTAGAAAAGCGCACTTCAAGGCTTTTGGATCCAGTTTAGTAACGGATGGTCTTACATCACGAACATAACATGTGCTTCCAAATACCCGTGGTTCCACTGGAACAGTAACTTGTTTGGAAATAGAGTACTGTATGGAATATCTCCATTAAGTACTGTAGATGGCATGCGATTAATCAGAAAGTAAGCTGTAGAGGTAGCATCAGCCTAGAACTGCTTAGAAACCTTCGTTTGAAACAAAAGGGCTTGAGCAGTTTCAAGTATATGTCTATTCTTTCTCTTAGCAACTCCGTTTTGAGAAGGAGTATCAATATAGGAGGATTAGTGAAGAATCCCATGTTGAGTCTTGTAATTCTGGAATGAGTTTGATATGTATTCTTTAACATTGTATATGCACAGAAGTATTAAATTGGTTTTTAATTTTAGCATAAAAGGCACAAAAATGAGAGAACATTTCAGATCGATTTTTCATGAAGTAAATCCATGTCATTCGAGAAAAATCATCCACAAAAGTAAAAAAAGTATCTAAACCCAGTTTTGGACATAATAGGACATGGTCCCCAAGCATTAAAATGAACCAACTCAAAAGCAGACTCGGCTTGTTTATTAATTCTCAGACCTAACGAGCTGCAGTGATGTTTTGCAAAGTAACATGACTTACAATCTAGTGAAGATACATCATGGAATTGATGGCATAATGCCTTCAATGTAGACAGAGATGGATGTCCCAACTGACAATGTGCTATAACTAGGGAGATTGTACTGGAACAAGCAACAAATCAAGGCAACCCACGTATCAAGAATATAAAGACCATTAGATACATGTCCTTTACCAATAATCTGCTTCATCATGAAATCCTGAGAAAGGCAATTATCAAGAAAGAATGAGATACAATAGTTAGGATCCTTGGTTAGTGTACTTACAGAAATCAAATTCAAAGAAAGTTTTGGTAGACTTAAAACAGATGACAGGGTAATAGAGGAAATTGGTTTAACAGTTCTAGATCCCACAATGTTATAGGTAGATCTATCAGCTATGGTAATAGGAGGGAGAGAGAGAGAGAGAGAGATTTGTGTGATCGAAAGCTAGAGAAGGTACTAGAATTACCTGTCATGTGATTTGTGGCACTTGAATCAATCACCCATTTGTTTGAAGAGGAGATAAGACATGTTTTACCTGACTTAGCAAGGGCAGTAACTGAAGTGGATTCCTTAAGTGATTCTTGATACAGAGAAAATTTGGCATCCTCATCAGCTGATATCATAACCGTTTTCTCAGAATATGAAGGAGCAGCAGCAACATTGGCAGTTTGAGTTCTCTGATTGCGATTCTACAATTTCTTACAATATGGCTTGGTATGGCCTGGCTCATGGCAGTAGTAGCACACAACACTGCTTGAATCATTGTTACACACAACACTGCTTGAATCATTGTTACAGTTATCAACTGTCTTGTTTCCTCTTCCCTTGTTGTTGGCTCTCCTCCCATAGTCATTTTTCCCTCTGATAACAAGAACATTATTTTGCTGAATAGGTGATGTATTTTTAGTGCGTAGAACTCTGAAGACGTCTTGTAGAGAGGGAACTTCAGAGCTAAAGAGAATTTGAGATTTGGAAGTCTCGAATTCGGAAGGAAGACCAGCTAAGAAACTCATAAAAGTCATTTGCTCCCTTCGAATTTGCTGTATTTTGACATCAGTGCTGAATGGCATTAACATATTAAGCTCTTCATACATCCTTTTAAAGTCCATGAAATAAGCTGTGAGAGACTTGGCTTCCTTTTCAGAATGATAAAAAGCTTTGCAAACTTCATAAATTCGTGACACATTTCCTTTGTCAGAATACAAAAACTCTAGATAATCCATTAATTCTTTTACAAATTCACAGTGATTAATTAAACCAATTACCTCACCGTCGATAGAATATCTGATTTATAGAAAGTCTTGCATCTTCTCTCAGCCAGCTTTGTTTAGTATCATCTTTAGGCGGATCCTTAATTAAGTGATCATCTTTGTCTATGCTCCGTAAATAGACTCTAATTGTCTTACTCCATTCCATATAATTAGTGCTATTCAATTTATGTTCAGTGATTTTTGGCATTACTGGAATCATATCACTCACAGATCCCTTGAACTTAATCATTGTCCAATTTTCCAATAATTGACAGATTTCAAAAACAACAAGTACTTCAACCTAAACAAAAGGCCCACCAACAATCCAACAAAAGAGGCCCACCAATAATTCATTAGGTCCAAAAAGCCCAAAATAAAGGACCACATTCCAATCAACCCTAGACACACTCACGTAGAACAATCAACCAGGCCATAGACAAAATCATGATCCACGGAGCCTAGAAATGGAGAAATACCTTAAGCCAACATCGTTCAGTCACCGAGGTACCGAGACAAGGCCAAGAATAAGCAGTCCCTCTTCTCACTCGTCACGCTCCACTACTGATTGGAGTTTCTACACTTGGAGTCCGACGACCCGACTTTGGGAAATCGTCGGTCGAAAAGTTGCGCCTCTCCCTCGACTGATGTTGAGACAAAATGGTCACTACAGGAGGTGACCCACAACCACGATCTGGTTTCTGTAAGTGAAGAACATAGGGTTTCCAGAGAAACCATAGAAGAACAGGATATTATATTGAGCCGAATCTCGCTCTGATACCATGTAATTGAAAAATTCAAAGGTATATACACACACAGACAATCTCTCTAATTAAGGTAGGTTAATCTGTCTAATTAAGGAATAGCTAATTACGCTAATTAGCTACTGTAAATAAGCTAATTAGCTCCTAATGTCTGCTATTCTGTAACAATACTATTGTATTAACTATGAGAAGCTTGGGCAATTTTTTGCATAGACGACATTGTCTTAATTGATTCAGAAATTAAAAGTTGAGATGAGAAATACTTGAAGTAGCAGTATTACACCTATTAATTGTATCAACCCATTAATAGTTAATTCATACCCTCTTTCAAAACTTGCTTCTTTGATAACATGGTAATCTGATATGGTGCCAAACGAGGGGGAAGGGTCATCTGTTTGGATCTCAATTTCACAATGATATTGTATATGTACGTTCATAATTCATTTAATAAAAACTTTCAGTAAATGTGAGAGAGCATGTTATAGTTAGTTGAGTTCTTTTTATAAGCATCAACATTTTTAATGAGGGTACTTATATGTAAATATATATATTTACAAAATTAACTTATATGTAAATATAGTTATGAAATTAACTTTCAAATACCGAGTTCCATTTTATATTTTATCTGAACTTTTGAACATGTCAGAGTCTAGTCGTTCCAAGTTGTTAACTACATTTGAGATTCCGATTATGTCTTCATTTGCTTGTTTGAAGTTGAAAAGTCCTTAGATAGTTTCTCTTATCTAAAGGAGCGGAACAGAATTTTGTGGAAGAAGAAACTGAGTTCAAAACTTCTTTGTTTTTATTATTACCCGAAGTTTAACATAAGTTTAAATTTTGATAATCCAATTGTTTAAAAGCCACCTTTTTGGAATGAACTTTCTTGTTCTTGTGTCAAATTTGTTGCCTGAGGTGATAAATCAATAATTTACATGAATAGTGATATCTTCTGCAATATTTCTATTCTCAATATTTGAGCAAAGCTGTCTTCTTTTATGGTATAGAAGTAATATCTGTTGACAAATCCAAATTTTACTAATTATTATTCTTCACAACGTTGCCATTAAGATTTTTGCTTACTCTATTCATTCCTCATTTGCGAGCTTATTATATCCTCAGTGTGAAGAAGTTTGTCGATTGGCATTAAGGAGGCGTTATCGGCTTTTACCTCACATGTATACTCTGTTTTACTTGGCACATACGTTGGGTATCCCAGTGGCAACTCCCACCTTTTTTGCTGGTGCGTTTTCATGATCATCAATAAAAATGGACTTCTTGACCTTTATTTGGTGGTCATTAATTTTAAGATTCTTTTGCAGATCCCAAAGATTTCGAGTTAAGAATGCATGAAAATTCATTCTTGTTGGGACCACTTCTCGTATACACAAGGTTCTCGCCTCTTTTGATCTTAATGACAATTGTTGATTCAATATTTGGAATTGACACTATAAAGTGAATTGCAAATAAATATGCTCTCTTTAACCTTTCTATTTTCCCTATTTTTTTGTTTATTTGAGGTGCTTTCAGTGCTGATCATAGGATATATTTTGCTCCTAAATTTTATTGCATACTGTATTCAATGTTGCAGCACCAGGCATGATGAAGAGTTACATGAAATGCAGCACAAGTTGCCTAAAGGAATCTGGTTAAGTTTTGATTTTGAAGATTCTCATCCGGTATTTATAAAAAACCTATTATATGACCTTTTATTTTATTTTTGGTTTTCTTTTAAACTTTTCACTTTTTCCTGTGTTTTATTGTACTAGGATTTGCCGTCATTGTACTTGAAAGGAGGATCCATCATTCCTTTGGCTCCTCCTCATCAACATGTTGGTGAAGCTAATCGTACAGATGATGTAACTCTGCTGGTGGCTTTGGATGAACATGGTAATTTTTCTGGGTTATATATTTTGCTGGCACATATCACTACTTCTGTTGAAAGTTGCAAACAAATAATATTTCCCTTTTACTAACGAATTGACTGGACATTGGCGTATTTTTGAATCGATTCTCTTTAATCGCAGGTAAAGCTGAGGGTTTTCTCTATGAAGATGATGGTGATGGATATGAATATCTTAAAGGAGGATACCTGTTGACAACATATGTTGCTGAACTTCAGCATTCCACGATCACCTTAAGGGTTTCGAAAACTGAAGGATCTTGGGATAGACCAAAGCGCCGCTTACACGTGAAATTACTGATTTGCCTTGGCACTGTGGTATGTATTTATCAGCAGTGTTCCATTATTTTTCGGTCAAGAGTTTCCTTGACCCAAAATGTAAAATCTTCGTTCTGTTGAATCTAATTTTTTTGGTTTGTCAAATAGCTTGATGCATGGGGTACTGATGGGGAGACTGTGCAAATCGAATTTATACGGTAGATGAAAATGCCGAAAGTAAATAAAGTACTGAAAGTGCAGAGTGCGATGTGAGTGCAGAAAGTGATGGAAGCGATTGTCCGCTGGAATGATCACAGCATGTGTGTTCATTTGCTATCTTCCATAAACAGTTCTTTTCAATAAGGTTTGCAATAATTATGGTTTGTAATAAGGGTATAAACCCCCTTGAGTTTACCTGTATAATAAATAATAAGAATCGTGGAGCAGACTCCCATTCTTCTTGATTTTTAACTCTTTGTTTCATTTGTGTTGTTGAGTTCACATTATTAGCATTGTTGGTTGCACTTTACATCTCCGTTTGGCTGGCAATTTATAAATGGTTTATAAACATAGTCAAAATTAAACATCCGTAATTGTTGCACATTTTTTATCCGCATATTTTTTTGGAACCCACTATTATTCTTTTTATTATTCTTCTTTAGAAAGATCAATAAATTTGTCAAACGGAGGATAAAAAACTCCGCAAAACACAAGGGAACAAATTTGTTAGGTCCACCTTTTGAAATAAAAAGTAGGATTGGGCTCTGAAAGTGGTTTTGCGGAAACAAAGTCTTCATTCAATATTTCAAACAATTGCAATGAGACTATAAGTACAGAATTATTGTCGAATTGAGTTATAACTACTTAATTGACTCCCTAGTCGTCTTCTAACAACTTTTTTCAGATTAGAGGCTGGGTATGTCGACTAATTAAATAGTAATATTATAGAATATTGTATCAAATTTTGTCCAGAAGCAGAACCTATTGCAAATTTGAACCTCGTCAACATATTATACCATTTGCAGTGTGTTTAAATTATTGATTATGTCAAATAGATTGCTATATAACATCTAATGAAGATTTTGTTCTATGCAATGTTCTAAAGGCTGTTCAGGAATGACATTAACGAATATGTATCTGATTTATTTTTTTATTATTATTATTAATTTTTTTTTTGCATGCTTTTTGAAATAACACAATAATGTTAATTGCAGAAAGTGCTAAGCGTATTCCAGACTTGGATAATGTTTCTGGACACAAAGGAACTGAACTATCACGGACTCCTGTCGAAATAAAAAGTGGGGTTTGGGCTCTGAAAGTAGTTCCATGGATAGGAGGTAGAATTATTTCCATGGAGCACCTACCTTCAGGTAACGCATACTGTATCTTTTGTATCTTTTGCCTAACTTTTTGTCATCTATTAAAAGACTTCTGGATTATCTCTACTTCGAGTTTTCCATGTTATATAGTTTTTGGATATTTCTAGGAACTCAATGGCTTCACAGCCGGGTGGATGTTAACGGTTATGAAGAATATAGTGGAGTGGAGTATCGATCTGCTGGGTGCTTCGAGGCTTATTCTGTTATCGAGTGAGTAGATAAATCGAGTTGGTGGTTTATGGATAACATTGTATAGCTTTTTACATTCTTTTAGACAATGTATAGATTGTATGTGCTTTTTTTCTATACACTCCAATGTACTAACTAAAAACTTGTTAGTGTATGCTTTCTGGCTAATATTAATTAACTATGCAGCATGAGCTTAAAAACAATGTTTTGCTGCTTTCTTTCTTTTGACAGTCGAAATCTGGAGCAGGCTGGTGAAACAGAATCCCTTGAGTTAGAAGGTGATATCGGAGGTGGATTAGTTCTTGAGCGGAAAATATCTTTTCCAGAAAATGACCCAAAGCTTTTCCAAATTGATTCTGGCATCATAGCTCGTAAAGTTGGTGCTGGTTCTGGTGGATTTTCAAGGTACTTTCTGAATTCATGTTATTCGCTTAAACTTAATGGGATTTTATAGTTTGCTGGTTTTTATGTGAATAAAAAAAAAATACTCGTTTGTCCATGTTAATGCTCCGATTAAGTGCATATTTGGATAGTATTATATTAAAATTTAAGTGATTATAAGTTGTGGGCCCTACAGAATCCATGGATAATAAGTTTGTAGTAGTCGTGGGTCCTAATAATGGGTTGATAAAAAGTAGATCTGAGCTAAAAAAAAATGATTATAAAAAATCACTTCCCAAACATGCTTTGAATTGCTGACCTTTAGAGGCTAGTTGAAAAAGTGATATTATATGTGACTATTAATCGTTATTCTCAAAACTAGAAGTTACAAGTCCTTTTGAATCATGTATGTTTAAAGTATATGTGCTTATTTTTCTCAAATCATTATGATTCCAAGTTTCAAAGAGTGAAACAATTGCCTTTAGTAAAGGAACCTACCACCTTCTTTTTCACATCCCAGTTTCTTTAATTTATGGAGATACTTAACATGGTTTTACTCATTCCACAATTCTACTATATGCCTTCTAAAAGAATGACATTCTTTCAGATGTCATCTTCAGGTATTACATTATCAATGATGAAAGCGGGAAGAATTCTATTAATTCTTTTAAATTTCGTTGAAATTTTACTTTCACAGTCCTTTCAATCAATATACTTGCACTAGTTAGTAGACATTTAAAACGTGAGATTATCCTTCTTTCCTTCCTTTATCGTAATTACTATGACATGTTAGTTATATTGTTGTTTTTCAGGCTTGTGTGCTTGCGAGTGCATCCAATGTTCAATTTGTTACACCCTACTGAATCGTACGTGTCATTTACCTCCATCAATGGTTTCAAGCATGAGATTTGGCCAGAAGCTGGTGAGCAGTTTTTCGAAGGGGAGCTTCGACCAAATGGTAAATAATATATTTCTCACCAGTTCCCTAAATTTATTGATTGAAGCATGATTTATTTATTTATTTATTTATTTTCACCATCCACGTAGAAGTTGACTATAATCCATGACCAAAAATATTATTTATCTTGTCGGGGGTAGCAGAGACATTAAGCAACAGCATAGTTAGACGCCCAAAAATGACCTTATGCATTTTGTGGGGACTAATAAAAAATGGACACTAATTTGGCTTCTTTTTCTTGCTCGATAATGTCCCATCCGGTCCAGTTCAAACCAATCTTCATCTAGGATATTAGCTAGAGAAACATCAATTATGGTGTTGATTGTGAGGAGTTTTTGCTAAGTATTGGTTTGTCCCCAGGAAACATCCCCGTTATAATGAGATGAAAAGAACCGATCAGATAAAATTTTGGTCATTACACTGTCCAATTTGGCTTGGTCTCATTTTATATTCTGATCATGCAATAGGTTTAGAATAATGCTACTTGTACATAATGAAGTTATATAATGATTTACATACAGACTAGAGTCATGAGATGTCAAAAAGAGAGTAGGGAATTCTTTATTTTTTAATTTGGTTGAAGAAATTTTGATTCGATCATATCTCACCATATTACGTGTATATAAATTATTATGTACATTTAGCACAACCGATAAGTTTAATTTGATCCTGCATTCATTGCACTACCATAGCCAAAAGTATATGCATCTATGTAGTCCACAACGCATCACGAACTCTATAAACTCCAACCTTCTTGGATAAATGTTCCGTAGTTCAATCTACCAATTAATGGTTTCTTTCTCAACTTTTTAATCAGGTGAATGGATGCTGGTTGATAAATGCCTTGGTCTCGCCTTAGTCAATCGGTTCGATATCAGTCAGACATACAAGTGTCTTGTACATTGGGGAACAGGGACAGTGAATTTGGAGCTTTGGTCAGAAAGCAGACCCGTCTCAAAGGAATCTCCACTAAGAATATCTCATGGATACGAGGTAAGAGGAATGTCATAAAACATTTTAATCACAAGATCGCTGAAACATGTATGGACCAGGGAGGATGGAAGCACCATGATCTGCATTGTTCTTTTACTCACAGTTCAGAACTTTTGCTTGTAAGTAGATCAGTTAGAACTTCATATAAGTTAATAATGGCTTTTATACTAAGCCACTGCAATAAATGGGCATGAAGACAAAATGCCCTTGACGTAAAAGAGACTGCATCTTGTGGACACAACAGTCATTTATATGATATGTTCTTTATCAATAAGAGTCAGATATGTATTATCCCAATGTCAATAATTGTCCTGCGATCTCTCTAAAGCATGTAATATGACTCTGTCGATATAATTGGCAGTAACATGGTTGTGGTATTAGCTAGAGAACACGAAGCACCATTGATATTGAATATCTAGACTGGACAGATGGGTTGCTGTCCTAAAAACTTACTGCGAAGTCAGTGCACTGGATTGGATGGCCATCTATAATGCACCGACGCAAACACTTCCGTTCGACATGATACGTGTTGAATGCGTCGACAAGCAAGTTTTATAAAAAATACTGATACAATACATCGTCAACACATTGATTAAGTTCTTTATCTATTTAGTATAAACTTAATTTTATACTTATTAATTTGTCTTGTTGATATTAATCTTTATTGAAATCTTTTAAATAAGAGTACTTATTTATTATTTAATAATAACTTTTAGTTATATATATATATATATATATTTTTGGATAAAGGGAAAAAAAAATCATAATAGAGTGTTTGAAAAGTGTCAGAATTCAACACGTGTCAGACAAGAATATGGACATGTTATCCTAGGAGAAAAGGCCGTGCAACACATATGGCCACTATAGAACCAGTTAAGAATGATTCGATGTTGCTGTCTCTTAAGGAAATGAAAATAAAGAAATTATGCATATAAATCATTAGAGGACACTAATCGTTACAACAATTAAAATTAGTAATGTACTGAAAGCAAACTTTATAAAGATAAATCATATGGCACATCAAAAATCAATATTCAACCATTTAGTGGAGTAGGCACAATTACTAGGAGATATTACCCCGTTGGGAGTACATGGATTGATCCGAGTACAGGCACCACAGGGAATTGAGGCAAATGCACCCACTTTCGAACCCTTTGCTACAACTGGACCGCTATCAAACCTGTAACAAACTGTTCCGATAGGAATGGAATAATACTCCCAGAGTCCAGTGCTCTTTACCTCGATTATTTCATTGTCTAAAACCATCGAGTAGAATATCTCGAAAACTTGCTGGCTAGATATCTCAAAATTCACTACTTGCTGCTTCTTCAAATGCTCGTGAACTCTCTCGAGAGTAGCAACCTTTTCAATGCGTATGCACCTTAAGCACAACTGTTTCATAACATTCACAAGCTCTTTGTCGAGATTTCCATCAACATACCATAAGCCTCCACTGACTTGTTTTGAGGGTTCGAACTCGTCTGCCATGTAGTGTTTTTTCCCTTTTTATTGGATATTTACAACCTCTTTTATCAGTTTCCTAGCCAACAACGACTTGAGTGATTTGTTGACAACATGATCAGTGAGCTTTGTCTCTTGCTTGATGTCTCGTAACCAAATTCCCAGATCTTTTTTACTTTTGATAGCATTGAGGATTGCACGCTCAGCATCTACAAGACCCAATGTATCGACCTCGGGTCTTTTCCTCTTAAGGTATGAAGTCTCAAGTGACCGGCTCATTCCCATCGAGAATGAATATTAATATAAAGCAAACAGAAGGGTTCCACCGTCTTAACACCCTAATCTCTAAAAAATCTATGTAAAAAATTAAAAATATGCTGATTTCTCTGCAATAATAAACATATATTAATGTAAAACCAATCAAGACTTCAATTAGAGAAAAGTTTAGTTTCCAAACAACCATAATGTCTTAGAAAGTGAAATAAAAAGGGAGTTTTACAAAAATTCCGTATTTCGCCAACATAACACAACCAATTTTGCTGTTAAAACCATCATGTGCAAAATACACGAGTAAATTTTCGAACACAACGCCATAAACCCCCCACGAGTTATATTCAGATTAATCATAAACTCCAGAGAAAAACTTGATAGCGGTCCTAATTAGCAAGCAGGCTCTAAGCCAGCAAAGTATTTTTCTACTTTTAACTCAATGTAACAATAAAATGATAAAATGTGAAACCTTGCTAAAAGTTAGTTAAAGGTTTTCAAATATATTAATTATTCAATAACTTGAGATATTAGAGCCATGAGTCACTGAACTCAAGCAGTAGATACAAAATTCTTCAAGGGTGATCTTATATTTGGAGTTCATAAGAACATGTGTAGAAAATGCTATAGAAATTCAAAATTAAAACTGTAAGTTTTTGAATCTCAAACTGATTAAAAGAAAGCCATAGAATCAATTTAATTAGTACTCTTAGCAACCAAGCGTAAAACCCAAAAAAGGTGAAGTTTCTACTTTTTTATTAAATTTAATCAGCAAGATAGAAAAAGGAAAGAATCGAAAATTTTCACATTAATATAACACAAATATGCAATAAATGTATTTCAACAAAAACCAAGCAACGTGAAATTAAGATCTTTAAAAGAAATTAAATCACTATATTATGGGCACTGGATTACAAATAAAATTAGAACCCGAGATATAAAAATGAGGAACTTCAACACTTTCCAATAAAATCGCACTCAGTAAACCAACAAAGCCCAAGGCCGATGCACTAAAGTATCACTTTGAAGTATATAAATTTCAAATGCTTAATTAAATTTAATACCTCCTGCAAATGTATTCAGACGCCTCGGAGAAGGAAGAATTGGTGGTTTCGCCGCCGCCACAGGCAATCGTAGCAGCCCTGGGCGGAGGTGGAGGCAGAAAAGGATGTTTGGTCCTTTTATGCGGGTAAAATGAGAGCGCAAATTCAAATGCATACTTCAACATTGGGAAAAATTTGTATGTCAGTTATATTATTTACACAAATTCACAAATTAGGTACAAAGTTTAAAAATTCAAAATTCAGATTTCTGTATAATTAATTGATAATATTTATTAGTTAAATATAATAAAGTCATAGTTACACGATTAATGATCACGGATTCATAATTATGGTCACAAATTTACTTATTGGTCAGATATTATCGAATTAATTGGTTAGAGATTGTTTCAAGGTCACAAATCAAAAGTTTTGTAGGTCACAGATCAAAAATTTATAGGTTACAAATTATTTCATTGATCACAGATCAAAAAAATTAAAAGTTACAGCGTCACATATGTTCAAATTTATTAGTCACATATTCTAATTAGTTGGTCACATGTACCAAATACCCCCATCATCGATCCCGATCCAGCACCAATCTTGGTCACAAACCATCACTGCGCAATTGTTGCTTGCACCGCACCAACACCGTCAACAAAACAAACACCAATTCATCAAAAAAATCACCACCACCATCGTCGCCTACACCACGACCAATCAGATTGGACCAACACCAACACCACCACCATCACCCCCACCACCCATCCCATTCACAACCATCGTAGCCACTTCTACGACCTACCACTGCCAACCAACATCACAATCACCATCACCCAAAAAGTAAGAGAAAACCCACCAACAACGCACCCAACTCCAACACCACAGTAGCTTTAATTCGCTATCTTATAAATGGTAAATCAATCATTACCTACACAAAGCATACCCACAGCAGCCCTAATCTACAACATGCAATCGACGGCGCTACCATCCAAATCATCACTACCAACACGAGCACCGCCACTACCAAAACCACCACCACCATCTTACCTAGATCCATAGCCAGTCTTGGGTCGAGACATTTGAGGCCTACGCTTCAAGCACAAAACCAAAGGGGGCCTAATTTTGGCCCCTTTTTTTTCTTTTTCTTTTTTTTCTTCTTTTTTTTAAGGGTTTTCAAGAGTTAAAGGAAAATTTGGTTTTTCATTTGTTTTTCCTCATGCTTGTGATAGTGTGACCAACGATCCATTTTAATTTCATCAAGACAAAGTCACAAATTTTTTCGAATAGCTCTAGAGTCTGTATGTCATTTTAATTTTGTATTGTTTCTGTAAATTTATAATGCTCAAATTTTTGCGTAAATAATCGAAAATTTTATTGGATGTGCAAAATGGGAATTTGTTCAACATATCTTGATCCAAGAATATGTGTTCTACTTGAACCTTCCTCATGTTTGGTATCTATTTACTACTTAGCGTCCCTGATTGGCATAAGGCAATAGGGCATTGTGTAATGATGAAATTTTTATTTCAGACTTATGAATTGTGATAGTAGAATTCTCAAGGGTGTGATTTCATAATTTTCTTCGAAATTTTACTTCTCAATTCAGCAACAACTTGCCCTAGCTTGTTATTGAATATGTTGGAAATGTTTGAAGCCTTGTCGGCTTACATAATGGTGGTTTGGTCAGCTTATATGATTGGTTATTTTATGATTAACAATTGCATAGGCGTACGTAGTAACTATATTGAAAACTCTAATTGTGAGATGATTGAGATATTTCGTAATTGTCTTTTAGGTTAATCATTGGGCATTAGGTTGCATAATATACTGTTGAAATAATATATTTGATTGTTGTTTCAATGTTAAGTTTTAAGTTAGTAATTGACACACCCCGCCCCGTGTAACACCACTAGATCCGGACGTGGCATGCGCCGATAATAGATACCAACTAAAAGTCGGACCCACCATCAAGGCTACTATAAATACAATATATCACTTTTTATACATCATTTTTCCAACAAAATTTCGGTATTATCTCACCTATAAACAGGACTAACCAACCCGTGATCAATTTCATACAAATCCCAAACTATAGCACAACACAATAAAGATAAGCCGAAATCTTCACTTTTACCAAGAAATACAATGAAATATATATATGGATACATAATACATAGTGAGCCCCATAACTATCTACAAGTGATGCAAAATCACATCTAGATATGAACATGCGTCCTAAAACACTGACTACATGTTCTATGAAGTGAGTCATATTAACAAACTCTGTCGTGTGATTCTGACTCCAAAATCAAGTCTCAACTTCAAAAGATACCCAGATTCTCAACTGCTACCTGATAAGGAAAAACGTGGAAAAATATATGAGTTGATAGTTCAGTGAGTGGAGAAGTTCAAAATAAATATACCTTTTCATTTATACATTTTTATTGAAAATAAAATTCATATCATTTGATAATTCACAAGCTACCATCATGTAATTATAGCAAAAAAGTGAAATATTCATATAAGGTCATAAAATATTATCTTAAAATCATAATATAACATCAGCTGATAACCATGCTACAATCTCACCACATCAAACGTGCTGAAAAATTCACCACATCAAACGTGCTGAAAAATTCACCAAAAATGTACCCTTTGATTGAAATATGTAATCCGCCTCACAGGCTAAGAACTTTCACCATGGGCCTTTGGCCCCCTTCGTAAATGAAAGCCGATCTCAAAGACCTCTCATAATCAATTCTGGAACACGGTCAAGGTCCCTCTGTGAACTATATGTACATGATCAAGACCAATGTCAGGTTAAGACCTTCCATGTAGGATAGAAGACGGCCAAGGCCCCTCTGTAAACTAGAAAAAGTATATAATCATGGGTACTTTTTTGGCCGATCTCAATATTGCATGTCTCACATACCAAACAAATCTCAATATCACATGTCTTACATACCAAGTCACAAATATGCCATAAATAATATTTAATATTCCACATGTATCATAATAAAAGAGATTTCAATAATAACCATGTAATTCGAACACATAATTACATCTTATTGCACATACTTTAACAATATACTTAATTTATAAATATTTTAAAAATATTTATATTTTTCCACTCACAGAATTATGTACGCCAAAATCAATTCGATTGGTACGCTGTCCCGATATCCGTATCGCCTCTTGAAATATGATATCATTTTTAAATCAACAATTAACTAATTTAAGTAATTTCAATAATTAAATAGGCGATACTCAAACATAATTATTTCACGTTTAGGCGATTTCTAAAGTCTCCTTAATTAGTAAAACTATTTTTTTTCATTTTACTTAATTTCATAGTTTATTATACTTAACTCCATCAATAAAATTGAATTTAATCTAACAACTTAACAAATATAAAATCAAACATAACCTTTCAATAAGTCACTTCTACTTACCTTTCAAAATTGAGAAATTCAAGCCTATTAGTATAACACACTTAATTCCTAACACGCTGGCAAGTTTTCTCCTTTTTTTTTTTTTCTTCTTTTTCTTCCTCTTTTCCTTTTTTCCCCCTCTTTTTCCTTTCTCTTTTTCTTTCTTCTTCTTCTCTGCACCGTTCATTTTTTCCTTTGTTTAATGTATTACAGTAATAAGATGCAAGATATACCGTTGAATTTTACATTTAAGTTGATTTTGTCGGGGGCCCAATTTATGGACTTCGCCTCAGACCCCTACGATCACAGGACCGGCCCTGCTTAGATCCACCTCACCACCATCACCACACCGTCACCCCACAATGTCACCAACACCACCAGAGAAGCTATTGCAGCGTCGCTACCACATCACCATCATCGACTGCCGCCACCACCAACAACAACTCGCTAGCAAACTCCAACCAAAAAATTAGAAAAACTGCAGATCAAAAAGAGATAGATAGCTGCAGATCGAAAAGATAGAGAACTACAGCTTCCCGCTCCTGCGTTCAGTGTCGCCTCCCCCATGTTGATATCGACACATTAGCGTCGAAGAGAGATAAGGTGGAGATGGCCCAACCTCATTGCCTGTAGATCGGAAAGAGAAAGGACGTCGCGATTCTGCGTTCTCAGCAGCGTCGCCTCTCCCATGCTGAAGTCGGCACCTCCCCATGCTGTTGTGCTCCCTTCATCGCTGGTTACAGTGGTCACTAGCGTCAAGCACATAGAGAGGAGATGGGAAAGTGTTTGATTTGTGAAGGATTAAGGTTAGAAACGTGAAATGAATTGGGTGGATTTATTTAATATTTAAATTATTAAATCAATGCCTAATTTTTTCACAATGAAACTTCAACCCTGATCTTTGAATTGTGATATTAAAACATTTGGATTTTGGTAATTTTCCCTACTTCATTAGGCGTAGTATTGAGCTTTGGGCTCTTTATACTCAATGGCCCAACAACAATTATAACACCAGTAGTGTTTGCATAACTACATACAATGTTTTTTTTATGACCGTGGGTATCTAGACTAACTTACGCACACCTTAACCAATTTCGCGGGACCCTGAAATTTACAGTCGAGTACTCAACTCAGTGGCCCTGAGGGAACTCGAACTGGCGTAACTACATACAATGTTGGGTTCGGTTTATTTAGTTAAAACAATTAATAAAAATTTTAAGTTAAAGTTAATAATTAATTTTAACAACATATTCCATGAAATTCATAACTTTCATACATTTTATCAAATTTATCAAAATTTGCTAAAAATATGATTTTAAAAAACCAAATGGAGGCTAGTTATGAAAATGACTTTTTTATGGTAGAAGTGCACTAGACTCATGCAGATTTATCGACGTATAATAACTAGCATATCACCTTAACTATACATGTTATTCAAGACATTTATATACGAGCATGGACAGACACTATTTCTTTCATTCACTGATCCTTAACTCTGTACGTATCTTGTTTACTTGCATAAAGTATGTATATCCCAACGGAGAAGTAGGACAAAGCTTTCCCACCACAATCGATGAACACATTAACACCTTCCATATCTTCAATGTCTATAAATTAGTATTTTAACTTTTGATGTCCATCAAGAGTAATACAAAGTGGACAATATGATTTTGAACGAATATAATTAACAATAAATGTAACACGCAATAGACTTCATGCCACATTTGCATCACATCATTATGGAAGA